CTGGGGCTTCTCGTTGCTGAGCTGCTTCCCCAATGTGGAAATCCGGCCCCTGGACTTGCCAGAGCTTTTCTCAGGAACGCCCCTGGCAAAGTGGTACTTGCAGGCTCAGCAGCGCTGGGAGCCTTATTTCTTACCCGTCCTGTCTGATGCCTGCAGAATTGCCATCATGTGGAAATTTGGTGGCATCTACCTGGACACAGACTTCATTGTGCTTAAGAACTTGAAGAATCTCACCAATGTGCTCGGTACCCAGTCCAAGTATGTGCTGAATGGGGCCTTTCTGTCCTTTAAACCCAAGCACAAGTTCATGGAGCTTTGCATGAAGGACTTTGTGGATAACTACAACAGCTGGATCTGGGGGCACCAGGGCCCACAGCTCCTAACACGTGTCTTCAAGAAATGGTGCTCCATCAGGAGTCTTCGGAGCAGTACGAGCTGCAAAGGAGTGAGCGCTCTGCCCCGTGAGGCTTTTTATCCCATTCGGTGGCAGGACTGGAAGAAATACTTTGAAGTGGTCAGCTCCTCGGAGCTTCACCACCTCTTTAATAACACTTATGCAGTGCATGTATGGAACAAGAAGAGCCAAGGGACAAGGCTAGAGATCACATCCCAGGCTTTGCTGGCTCAGCTGCATTCCCACTTCTGCCCTGCCACATACGATATCATGAAGAAGGACTCTGAACGGCAGTGACTCAAAGGTCAGCTAAAAGATGTTGCCCAGGAGCCCACAACTCTCCAGCTGTTGTATCACAAATGAACCTCCTTTTGAAATGAGGTAGTGAGAGTTGAGGATAAAAGCCATTTGTGGGGTATAGGTGGAGCCTGTAGCTTCAGCCGATGTTTGTGCAGCTCTCTGTCTTGATTTTAACTGCCTACCGGCAACATTTTGTTTCTCTGCAGGACCTTTCTTCTGCTCTGCCTGGTAAGGTACAGAAATCTCAGGACGGGAGCAAGTGCTGGGCCACTTGTGGCAGCCTCCTTCAGCCTTTCAGAGGAGTAAGGCCCCTTTCTATGTCTGTAAACCTGGAAGAGGCCTTTGCAGAAATGTGTATCTAATCGCCTGATTCTCAGGACTTATGAAGTGCAGTCCTCAAAACAACAAAAAGATGGGAAAGCAAAGAACAGGGAATGAGGAGGAAGTTAAGGCTGTGTTTGAGGAGGTGTCCTGAGAAAAACGTAGAGGAAAACAGAGAAGAAGGAAAGGGCTAAAGCAACTTCTTTTTCATTTCATTCCCTCCTCTTCTGAAGCCTGTGGTGGAAGAGACTTTCTCATGTCTGGTCTGAGCAGGGAGAAGGATGCTGCAGTCTCTGTTCAATGTCATAGGTCTAAAGATGTGGAAATTTGGTGTGAATCAGAACATGAGGATCTGAGGCCAGCTCATCATTTAGAAGGAACTCTTGTGCAGCAATGATTTATTTTATAGTAGTGGCAAATTAACACCCTGTGATGAGCAGGAGAGCTCATCCAACTCACACCTTAAATGGCACCTGACACAGGAAGAGCTGAACTATGTTTTACACTGAGTTTGTCTCTGTGACCAATTGTCCCTAATGGCGTCTAAGATGCACCAGATCTTTCAGCACTTGGGTTGATCCTAAAAGAAAGGCTTGGTATTTCCAGGGTTACAGAGAGCTTGGTAGGGAACCTGTACTGTCTAAATTCAAGTCCACTTATGAGTCACTTATGGTGGACCTCTTCAAGTAGCCTGGAGGACTCCTGCAATTCACTGTCCAGGAGTACAAATCTCTCCTGGGAAGTCTTGAGGAGAGCAGTGGGAAGTTTTACTCTTCTGCCTAAGCATATTCATGAATTGCAGTGGAGAAAGTTAACATATCTCTCACAAGGTACTGTTGTGCCTTTGAGGGTTCCCACCACAGAGGCAAGTTTGTTGGACAAACTGTGGGAGAAAACTCATCCCTTGCCTTGATGGCCAAAAGGGCATATTCATGCTCTTACAGTTCTTGTCAGAAAATAATAGAGAAAGAGCAGAATAAGAATAAGGTAGAGACCATCAGCATTGTTACATCTGGTCCCCACCGCACTCTAAAGGGGATTGCTGAGGCACATGAACTTGGCACTGCAGTACGGTTAATGGAGATGAGCAGAGCACTGTCCATCCCCTTTCCTACACTACTAAGAGATTATGATTGTGCTGTAAAATCTTTCTGCCTCCAGTGTGCCTCCTCTTCTTACACCTAGGAACAGCAGTGGGGTGGTCCAATGGCTGCTTTGATGACTGACAAGTCAGTCAGATTTTTCAATGTCACCTGGCCCCAAAGTGACAGCTTTTTCACATGGTGCTTCCTGCAAGTCCTCTGAGTGTGACTCGAATGATTTCTAGATCTGCAGTTGTCTGAGGCCTCTTCTGTTTCCCAGGTCAACAATCAGCAATATGAGGTTTGCTCAGTTTAGCCAAGACAATGGTCAAAAATGTAAAAGACTGTGCATGCAACATTTTCCTTTTTGTCTCAGGTTTATTTGTCTCTTCTTTGATGATAAAAATGGCAATAAAGATTGCCCATCACTTTTTACAGAGCAGTTCCCTGTCCCTCAAGGAACATGGCCATGGGAGTTTAAGGAGTGTGTGCATCTTTTTTTTCTTTCTTTCTTCTTTTTTTTTCCTTTCTTTTTTTTTTTTTTTTTAATTCTGAGCTGTCTGGTGTTGATCAGAGGCCAGTGCTGCTTTGATTGAAAGCTACCTGCCTGTGAGTTGGGCAGGGTGTGAGGTCTGTGCACAAGTAGCTACGCTGGAATGAAGAAGGTGCTGGAAACACCCCTCCAGTGGCTGGCACCACATGTATGTATGTATGTAGTACTGCCCCTTTGTTCTGTCCAGTTTTATGGTATATTCTGGAGGCATTCAGAATTTTGAATGTCTGCAGCTTTCCCAACACTGAACATCTTTAAGAACAAAGACTTTGTGGGCAAACAGCAGATCTTCCTGACTGTATAAACATTTTTCAACACACTAAGTGGTATAAATGCTGTTTTGGTATATGGTATATGCTGTTTTCACTCCCTACTCTCAGTGTCACTACTCTGTGGGTTTTTTTCACAGCTTTCTTTAGAATCAGCCACAAAATTGTCAGCCCTGGCCTAGTGTGTGGTCAGTGAGGCATGGTTTCTCCTTCTACCGGTTCCTTTTGTTTTGGGCCCTTTGGGCTAAACAACAGAAATCTTATAGAGCTAAGAACCCCTACCAGAGATGGTAAAATGGTGGTTGGTGATCATAAAGGCATAACAGCAGACTCTGCTGTGGCAATACTGTGAACTGATTATGGGAGTGTTTGGGACCCAGTGCAATGAATATCTGGCTTGATGTACCACTGCTTATTCTAGGAAAGTGCCTTTTTGGGTAAGTGGAGTGGGATGGTTTGTTGCTATTTTACTTTATTTTTTCCCCTTTAGTGTCAAAGTTCTGAGGTTTGATAAGGAGAGAATCAAATTAAAGCAGTCTTTGGCCTTTTTCTCTTTGTCTTGTGAAAGAAAAATAAATACAGTTTTTACTATTACTTCTCTCTGCCAAGTTGTTCCATTTTGTTCTCTGAGGCGTTGGTGGTAGGTCTGAGCAATCTGTTAGTTATTATGCAGAAAAGCATTTTAAAGTTGTATCCTGAAGTGACTCACTAAAATTAGGAGTGTGGAATGAACATGAGACAAGTTGAGCATAAGTGCACGTGGAATGAAGGCTCTGCAGACCATGACTACATGCCATCTTTGGGACTTGAGCAGAGGGAACAGAGGAAAGCACAATGTGTGGTACTGATTCCTCATCCAACCAGGTATCATCCCATTGTTCATGACCTGCAATCCATCTGAAGCAAGGCATTTTAGTCTCACACTGAAGGTCTGGATGTTATGGAATAGGAGACTCCATGAGAAATTGTGTTGCTTTTTCCCTGGGTGATGGGCTACAGCCTCCCTTAGTAGTGACAGTGTCTGTGCTCTTGTGGACCTACAAGTGGAAAGCTTGTGCCACAACCATTCATTTTTCTGACCTGGCTTTTGGAGACTGTTCTAAAGACTCTGGAGTCCAGGGGAGCTTTTTGAGAGACTGTGAAGGGTCTGGTGGGGTTTGCTGTGCAGAGGAGTTTTATTGTGACTCCTTGAGTCAAGAGCCAGTGAAACAGAGATGTAAATTAGTTGCCTGTGCTTTCTTCATTGCTGATATGCAGTCAAGGATGATGGGAAGCGGTAAGAAGGCACTAACTATTTCTTACCCTGTCCTCCTTTGTCCTTGACCTCATGAAGGTTAGCTGGTACACAGGTGTACTGTACATCAAGGAGAGAAACCAGGGGTGGGGGTTGGAGATACAGACTTGGACAGTGCAACAGAAGAGGAGTAAGGAAGGATCAGTAGAGTAATCCTGGACCTGGTCTCCTGGGAAGAAATTAAATTATGATTATTTTCTCTGTGCTGGCTGAGAGCACTCCTATGCCAGGAGCTCTTGTGTTGGTGGGATCTAGGATCTGTAAGTAGTAAGTAGTAATGCTCTGTAGGGCTCTTTTTTCCCCCTGTTGTTCTCCTCCCCGTTTCTGCTCCCTCCCCCCAAAATGTGTAGTCCAAGAAGGCTATGGTGCAAAGCAGGTTAAGAGCACTTCTTAAGGGAAAGTGCAATTACCTGCCTTAACCATACATAGGTTGGGAGCTGAGGTCTGGCTAGGGCTGGTTTGTCCTCAGCAGGAGAGAAGAGGAAGAACAAAGCTCTCCACATCCTCTGTTTGGATATGCTATTTGTGAACACCAGCACTCTGGTCTTTCTTACATAACTGAGGTTCATCTCTCTCTCAAGTATTTGTGACCATTCCCTGTGTGCACTTGGCTTGTGGTCTCTCTGGTACCTTGTTTGCAACCATGCCTGGAACTCAGATGAATAGGTGTAGTCCGGAAGAGAAAACTACAGGAGGAAGTCGCTTCAGCTGCACCCTGCCATTATAGCTCAGGCTGAGATCTTGACCTTTAAATTTGTATATAATGATGGAGCCAAATAGCAGCTTCCATGGTAGAGGTACGAGGAGTAAGAAAGTACTCTTCACATAGTGGAATCTATGTCCAGGGAGAAAATTAGGCAGGCGCATAAAGTCTGGAAAGGTAAATATGAAAACACCATTAAGCTATTGTCATAGTTTAGCCCCAGCTGGCAACTAAGTACCATGCAGCTGCTCTCTCACTCCTCCATCCCTGCCACCCTGGTGGAATGGGGAGGAGAATAAAAAAAAAGGTAAAATTCATGGGCTGAGGTAAAGACAGTTCAATAGTACAGCAAGGGAAGAGAAAATAATAATAGTGATAAAAGAATATACAAAATAAGCTACTAGGAAGAAAATTAACTATCACAGCCTAAACCAGGACAGTATCCACCCCTTATTGTATACCCTCTACATTGTGCCCAGGTCCTCCACTTTTCAATACATTCCAATTAATCACTGCCATTTTTTCTGTCTTTTCATATATACATACGGAGATATCATTCCCTTAGTCTATGGGTCATCCCCCTAAAATGTCTACTGAGTTCATATATCATATGAATTGATATGAGTTGATAGCTATTTGTTAATAGTTGATATAGTTGATATGATAGTTGATATGAATTGATATCTATTGAGTTCATATATCATATTCATATTGAGTTTGGGCTCCATCTATTATAATAGCCCTTCAGCGCAAGAGAGATGGTGTGTGGTGTTCA